TTGATTTTAGCTCAGTATTTGGCTCAGGGTTTGTGGCAGTGCTGTTTTGTGACATTCCTGTTTACTTTCCTCATCCTTTCCGGTTAAAGCCATATGAGCGAAACCACAGCAACATCTGACTCAGATTCTAGAGATAACAGTGTTTAATTCATAAAAAACGTGTCACATTTCAGCCCAAAATACAAAGAGAAAAACAGGAAATTATATTTAGCATATTTTAGGATTTAAAGATTTTCTGGTAACACTTTAGATAAGTGCACATACATTCACTATTACCGTAACTTACAATTTTCTATCAATAAACTCCTGATTTGCTGCTTATTGCTAGTAAGGTAGTTGTTGTAGTTATGTTTAGGTATTGGGTCGGGATAAGGGATCTATGCATTTTTATGTACTTTATAAGTACTAATAAACAGCCAATATGCTAGTAGCTTGCTAATAAGCAACTAATTATAATGAATAGTGTTCCCAGAAAAAAAGAAAAAAAAAATTCTTCCACAGTTATTTTTATAATAATTGAAGATTGAATGTTTGTTAAATAATTGACATTATTCATAATATTTATGGTAATTACATTCTCATTACCATAATACAGTAATGTTTTACATTATTACTGTAAAAAATTACTGCAATACATTAACTTTTTTAATCAGGATAAATTAAAGGCAGTGCAACAAATAACCCCATGATGTATAAATACTTAACAAACAAACAAATAAATAAATACATACATAATTGGGTCACTTTATTTTAAGGTCCAACTCGCTATTAACAAACCATTAACTATGACTTTTGCCTCAATAAACTCCTAATTGGCTGCTTATTAATAGTTAGTAAGGTAGTTGGTAATTTTAGGTATTGGATAGGATTAGGGATGTAGAATATGCTCATGTAGAATATGTGCTTTATAAACACCAATAAACAGCTAATATGTTAATAATAGGCATGCTAATGAGCAACTAGTTAATAGTGAGAATTGGTCCCTAAGTGTTAACATCGTACGGAGAGAGAAAGAGAAAGAAATACAAAACAAGTAGCAGGACTTGTCCAAAAATCAAAACAAGGAAGAACTTGTCATTAAAAGGATTATTATTATTATTATTATTATTTAGGCAAAACATAAACCAACTCACCGCATTAATATAACATTGGATTATAACAGAATATTGGAGCAGCAATTTTACTGTTTTATTTATTAATTGATTTCAATTGGTTGGAAATGTATTATAAATTCCAATGATTTTGTAATTAATTCCTTCTGTTTTGGAGTCCTTATAATCTTGTTTCTGCCACGGGATAGAAAAAGTAAGTATATAAATTTACAATTGAGAAGAAAAAGTCACAATTAGCATACCGTTTTATTTTATTTTTCTGTGGCAGAAAAACTAAAACAACAGAATTGCAAAACGTAAACACTCTTTTGCGAAAGAAAGTCAGAATTCAGAGTTGATATCTTGTTTATATTTCCACGGTGGAAACAAGCTTCCATAAGTCACCTGTGTGTCTTCTTTTATGAGATGAGAAGCCTAAATGTAGCTCCACCTGCTCCTGTTGACTCATTCTGAGTGGAAACCACTTTCACACACCTTCACACATTTGTTATGCTCAAGGTCAAGGTTTGCAGATTTTTTTCTGTTTGCACACTTGCCAGGACTTCCGACTCAAACTAATGAGCTCATTTAAAAAAAGCTGTTAATAACATTTAATCACAGTTTGGTACGACAGACATGCTGTAGTCATGTAGAGTAATGGCTAACTCATACCGTTCCACTCCCTCTCATCCACCACACAACACACGTCACTACACTGAAGCAGCAGACTATGTCTGTGAGTGTTTTTTCCAAGAAATCAAAGATCAGGAAACACTGATGTTTATGGATCCCGTCCTGCTCCGAATGAAGAGGAAGTGTGTCTTACTCATTACACCACGGCTTCCACCATGCATATGTTTTTATTATAACTGCTCTCAAACGGGGTCTAGAGAGGAGTTACAGATAAGCGCCTTTTATCTTCGATTTCAGATGTGCTTTTGTCTGTTATGGTAAACAGCTCTTTTTGGGGTGT